ATTAATACATATGTATTATATATAAAAAATGTATTTTTTTAAAGAGTTGGAGATAAAGCTCAGTGGTAGAGTGCTTGCATAGTATGCACAAGATCCTGGGTTCAGTGCCCAGCAGCACACACACATACACACACACACACTCACTCACACACTAATTAAAATTTAGTAAAATAAAGCTGGTCGTGGTGGTACACACAATTAATCTCAAACCCAGGAGGCAAAGGCAGGCAGATTTCTAAGTTCGAAGTCAGCCTGGTCAACATAGAGAGTTCCAGGCCAGCCATGGCTACATAGTGAGACCCTGTCTAAAAATCAGTAAAATAATTTAAAAAGTTAAAGGTCTCACCTATTGATTATACAAAATTGGTTATTGAGAATGGCAGAATTTGGACAAAATTTTTCTTACCCTCATTTTGTAGACGGTCATGCTTTGGAGCTATGTTCCCAAGGGATTTGGAGGATATATTAACACCTTTGTTATTTTTGTAATGTTGTCTGTAAAACAGAGTTAGGTGCCATTTCCTGTACTGCAGTGTAAATAGCTGATGTGCCAGCTGGGGAAGATTAAGCACTCAAAGGCGATCAAAAGCTAAAAATGATACCCTTGAGGTGAGGTAGCAAACACATCTGGTACTAGGCGTGCATAGATTGAGCAGTAGGAGAGGAGGGGGACTGCCCAGTACAATCTAAAATTTAATGTAAAGCAAATATCTTTAAGGTAAAACTTGAGTTTTGTGGTAATTTTTTCTAATTATGAAGTTATATAAGGTTATTGTAAAAATTCAAATTATATAGAAATAGATATATATCTTTTATTTTATTTTATGTGTATGTGTGTATTGCCTGCATGTAGTGCACCCGTGTGGTGCAATGCCCACGGAGATCAGAAGAGGCTGTTGGATCCCCTGGGAATGAGTTACGGACAGTTGTTAGCTGCCATGTGGGTGCTGGGATTCGAACCCGAGTCTTCTACAAGGACAGTCAGTGTTCTTAACCGCTGAGTCATCTCTCCAGCCCCAGAAATATATATCTTAAAAAGCAAATAAAAACTTTGTATTATCAGAATGTTATCCAACTGTATATTGTTTATTGTAAATAATGGTGAACAGTGGTCAATAAATAGTTTTATATTCAAAAAATAAAAAGCAATCAATGTAGAACCCCTTTTATCCCATTCTACAAATAATACTGTTAACAGTTTTATATATGTAGCTACACAAACCATTTTTTAAATTTATGTGTATGAGTATATTGCCTGCATGTATGTAAATGCACCCGTGTCATGCAGTGGCTGCAGAGGCCAGAAGAGGATGTCGGATCCCCTGGAATTGGAGTTACAGATGTTGTTAGCTGCCATGTGGGCATTGGTACAAGAGCAGTCAGTTCTCTTAACTGCTGAGCCATTTCTCTATCCCCTACAGAAACCTTTTTTTTTTTTTTAAATTTTATGTGTGTGTATTGCCTGCATGTAGGTGTTAGGGTTCGAGAATCGAGAATAATTCCCACAGATACCCAAAAAGATTATACAAAAAGTTTATTCAAGAATTTAAAGTAAAAAAAAAAAACAACCAAATGGCGGCTAGCTGGGCACAGACTATGCGAGCCAAAGATGGAGTCTGGCCCTGAACAGTAGCAGGCAGGGGCTTTTATTGGGAAACTCCACAGAAACCCGCGCCTGCCAAGCATCTTTTAAAATAATTGGATGTCCCCATATCCTGAGTACGGGGGAAGTCTTGATTGGTAGAGGCTGTCTTCAGGGCATTGGAATGTGCTGACTGATATCTTTCAGGGCCAGAAGTTTTTGTTCATACCTTATAAGGCTTTTACATGTCCAGGGTTTGCTTAATCTATAGCTTCCTGGGGCGGGGGGTGGCAACTGGAAAAATTTACAATATGCCTGAGCTTGTCTGGGCTTGTCTAAAGAAGCTAGTCAAAATGGAGTCAGAGCATTCTGGCTCTTCATAGGTAAGTGCACCCATGTCCTGCAATGCCTGCGGAGGACAGAAGAGACTGTCAGATCCCTTGGAATTGGAGTTACAGACAGTTGTTAGCTTGCTGTTCATTTCCACAGTTCTGTGCTGGGTTTTTTTCTGGCTAAGTTTGCACGGGTCTTGTGCATATTGACACCATTGCTGTAGGTTTGTATGAGAAGGGTCCCAGGTGCCTGTAGGACTATGTCTGTATGGTCATGCACCTCCTCCCTGGCTACT